GGCGTCTGTCTGTCTGTCTGTCTAGCTGTCTGTAAACTTTTCACATTTTCGACTTCTTCTCAAGAACCACTGGGCCATTTCAACCAAACTTGCCACAAAGCATCCTTGGGTGAAGGGGATTCAAGTTTTTTCAAATGAAGGGCCATGCCCTCATTCAAGGGGAGATAATTGGGAATTAATGAAAATTTGGTGGCATGTTTTAAAAATCTTCTTCTCAAGAACCACTGTGCCAGGAAAGATGAAACTTATGGGTTAACATCCTCAGGTAGTGAATATTCAAATGTGTTCAAATCATGACCCCCGGGGGTAGGGCAGGGCCAAAATGGCCGACCAAAGTTTTATATAGAAATATATTGGAAAATTCTTTAAAAATCTTCTTCTCAAGAACCACTGTGCCAGGAAAGATGAAACTTATGGAGTAACATCCTCAGATAGTGTAGATTCAAGTTTGTTCAAATCATGACCCCCGGGGGTAGGGCAGGGCCAAAATGGCTGACCAAAGTTTTACATAGAAATATATAGGAAAATTCTTTAAAAATCTTCTTCTCAAGAATGACAAAGCCATAATTCATCAAATTTATATGGAAGCATCCTCAGGTAGTGAAGATTCAAGTTTGTTCAAATCATGACCCTGGGGGTAGGGCGGGGCCAAAAAGGCCGACCAAAGTTTTACATAGAAATTTATGGGAAAATTCTTTAAAAATCTTCTTCTCAAGAATGACAAATCCATAATTCATCATATTTATGTGGAAGCATCTTCAGGTAGTGTAGATTCAAATTTGTACAAATCATGACCCCAGTGGGTAGGGCGGGGCCAAAATGGCCGACCAAAGTTTTACATAGAAATATATGGGAAAATTCTTTGAAGAAAAGCAAATCCATGATTGATCATGGGATTACTTTTGGATTTTAACTTTTCAATAATAAAGCAATTTCTACTTTTTCTTAGCTTCAGTACTCAGGTGAGCGATGTGGCCCATGGGCCTCTTGTTTAATGTACCATTAGTAATACACATCTGGCGGGACATTCATGTCCTATAGACATATTTCTAGTTTTTCAAATCATCACCTCAGGTTAGGGTCAGGCCACAATTAGGGATCAAAGTTTTATTTAGGAATAAAAGGAAACACATCTTTAAAGTTCTTCTTTTCAGGAACACCAAGAGCATGATTAATATGGAAATATTCTCAAGAGGTGTAGATTCAAGTTTGTACAAATCATGACCACCAGGGTTAGGGAGGTGCCATATTTTTCCAGCCCCTTTTTGCCATCCATATGAAAATTCAAATTTTGAAACCATTTTACACATACACAAAACAAACCAATCATTTTCTAAATGATCATGGTTTAAAGCTATTGCAGCATAAGATATTAGGGAAGTTCTTGAAAGCAGGGTGATTAAACATGTCAAATATATGTAAAAAAAAAATATATATATAAAAATTCTACCTCAATTTGATCCCCATCCCCCCCACCCCCCGGGCAAAATGAAAATTCCGAAACCTTACTGCACATCTACATGACACCACCAACCATCTTTTAAAAGATGATAAGGCTTCTGAGTAAAATGTAGAAGGAGTTCAGGGAAGAAGGGGCTTTTTGTATAAAAAAACGTCATTTTTCGACCCCCATTTGATCCCCCGGGGCAAAATCAAAATTCCGAAACCTTACTGCACATCTACATGACACCACCAACCATCTCTCAAAAGATGATTAGGCTGCTGAGTAAAATGTAGAAGGAGTTCAGGGAAGAAGGGGCTTTTTGTATAAAAAACATCATTTTTCGACCCCCATTTGATCCCCCGGGGCAAAATCAAAATTCCGAAACCTTACTGCACATCTACATGACACCACCAACCATCTCTCAAAAGATGATTAGGCTGCTGAGTAAAATATAGAACGAGTTCAGGGAAGAAGGGGCTTTTTGTATAAAAAAAACGTCATTTTTTGACCCCCATTTGATCCCCCGGGGCAAAATCAAAATTCCGAAACCTTACTGCACATCTACATGACACCCCCAACCATCTCCCAAAGGATGATTAAGCTACTGTGAAAAATGTAGGAGGAGTTCAGGGAAGAAGGGGCTTTTTGTATAAAAAACGTCATTTTTCGACCCCCATTTGATCCCCCGGGGCAAAATCAAAATTCCGAAACCTTACTGCACATCTACATGACACCCCCAACCATCTCCCAAAGGATGATTAAGCTACTGTGAAAAATGTAGGAGGAGTTCAGGGAAGAAAAGTGTGACAGACGGACGGACGGACGGACGGACGGACATGAGTAACAACAATATACCCGAACTTTCTTTCGAAAGTGCGGGTATAATTAACGACAGAAGAAGTTTCACCAATTCCGGCAATGACAATAAAGTTTCTATCGTTAACCAAGACCACACTCTCTTTTATTAACTTCTTTGGTCACCATGGCTAAAAAAATGAATCACTTTAATTCCTAACAAAATCCCATCTGAAGGAAATCCTAAGCCGGTCACAGAAGAATTGGAGTTACTAAACACAGAGCAAGATCAAAGTTCACCACGACAACAATGAGTATACCGGAGGGCATGATCATTATATGATAAAGGATTGTAGAATCTTATTTTTTTCATTTAAAATAAATTATCAAAATATGAAAATATTAAACACATCTGTACTTTTACTATGTTCTTCAGGAACAAAATGGTATGCTATAAGTATCCGATGAATAAAACGTTTTTTTCTCGCTGCTTATTGAAAATGTTGATGAAACAGGAATATCATCAGTCTCGTTTTAAATCATCATTTTGTAAGTCTATATATGGTCGATGCAATGACTTTGTCAGCAAATACATTATATCATTGAGGCAAATGCTGACAGACGTTTTTCATTATATTTGTTAAGGTATTATTTTGCACAGAATTGTCTACAGAATTTTACATTTATTTCCCGGTCATGTCATGGGTATGGTCGATTGGTGGGAGATGCTAACTCTATGGCACCTGATCTCACCTTTGATGCTTTGGAATTTTGTGTTTACTCTACTCCTGATTTGTATTGTTTGTATATGATCTTATATCTATAAATAAAATGGAGATAAGGAATAGTATTCAATCTATAAGAAATCTGTTTATAAAAAAGTTTTAAATAGAAATGTAGGAGAATTTATTTATTGCAACCATTTTCTCCCAATGAAAAAAATCATAGATTATTATTGCTTTAAATTCTAACACATGGACACTATAATTATCCGTACTGAAAGATGTTTCAGTAAAAAAAAAAAAGAGTAACATATTTTAAAATCGGCAAGAATTTACTTTTCCAAGAAAATATTGATAGGTTTTAATTTGTAGCATCTTAAAATATGTAAAATTGTGTGGATAGACTTTACTCATTTCTTTCAATTACACACCCTACAAAAAAAATTCTGAAAAGTCCAAGGCCTCCGTTCTTCACGTTTGGGCATTTTGATTCTAATAAATTGTCCTTCGTCTTCTCAGAGTTTTGTTTTCATATGTCCATGCTTATAATGACTTTTGTAATGTACGGAAGTTTTTCTTTTCCCAAAATGACTTTACAACGTACATTAATAATACTTAAGGGAAGAGATTTTAAGCACCGCTTTTAAAATACCTGGTCTGGGTAGCCCTGTCAATCAAGTGTGTGAAGGTCCATCATTAGATGCTGGATATTAATTGACATTTACTTACTGGTCTCTCTCTTTACTCTATACACCCTGTTTGGGACTCGTATTGACCTTCTAATTAACTTTTGTTTCTTTGATGTTTATTGAATATGGTATACAAAAACTGCATTACTAAGAATTTTTTAGATTGATAATACAAAAATTCAATAAACCTTTTTAGCATTTGAAAGGATAATAATATAAAATGCATTAAAAAATGACCTTTGGTACATAAAACTTTTTTTTTCAAATGAAATTTGTTTTATTTTGATATGCTAAATGTTAAACCCAAAGTGGAAACATAATTAATAAAGTTCATAGCAGAAGTGTATGAAGTAATTAAATTTAAAAATAATCCTTCTAATCATGAGTCGCTTATATTTCCCATTTTTATTTAGATAAGAATTTGCGAGCAATTTTTTGCATGTTTCATAATAGAGGGGATCCTGGAAATGACTGAATTAAGCAGTGGATGCTCACTCACTCCTCCATGGCACGTAATCCCACCTCTGATATTTCGGAGCACCGTGTTTGCTCTGCTCCTATATTGTACGTTTTATGGACTTTGAGATTGAATACTGTTCGTTATCACCATATCTTTTCTTTAAGTGTAAGCTAGTTGTTACAAGAGTTGTTGTTTTTAATTAACACATACACTAACATCTGAATGAATCTGTGTTTTATAGCATTATATCATAATTTATTTGAATGTGTAGGGGTGTTTTCAAACAGTGAAAAATAAATCAATATATAATTTTAAAAAAGTCTTTTTAGTACTATTTCATTTTAAAATTGTCTCAAAATTCTCAACACAGGTAAAGCTTGACATCTGAGTATTTCACTGTGTATTGAATCACTTCCTGTGTATAGAGTTTAGGAGACAGATGACCACGGGTAGACTGCTAGCCCCAAAAGCTTTCACATTTGTACAAAATAAGCCCCTCCCTCACCTGGAATTTACCACCCTGTAAAAATCTCTGCCTTTACTATTAAAGCAATGTTTTGCTGATATTTTTGTATTTTAAAATAAATATCAACAGCTTGTTCAGAAGGTCGTTTCTGGGGTTTTGACTTACAGAAAAAAAATATCTACGTTTTAGTTTTTAAAAGAAATTTAGATTTTACAATGCATATCAATATTTAAAAAACTTCAATGACGTCACCCATTGTTATTAGACTGGGTATATTTTATTGATTTAACCACCACCAGTGGGATATTTTTAAGATCCAACTTGCAATCGTTGGATATTTCAAATATCCAACTGCTTAACGGTTGGATATTTGAATATCCGTCAAATATCCAACAGTGCAGAAAAAAATTAATTTAACAATGAATAAAAAGAGAAGGTTGAGTTGAAAATTGTATTTCTACAGCACAAAATAATAATAGTTATAAATCCAATTTTTGTAAATCCAATAATGTAACCAGCAATATACACTATAGATATCCATCAAACTATAAAGGAATTTCCACAGAAATATCTCCTTTCTTAATTTTGATTGATTTAGAATCACACATATCACCGTGAGGGATATTTTCACATTTCCTCTTTGAACCAAGTTGAACAACATCACTAGCTTCCTGCTGTTGAACAGTATTTGTGCGCTTGTACTCCCGAACAGCATCGGAACGATGGCCGGTCTTCTCGCATATGAGTTGCTCAGGGAGTTCTGCTGAATACATCCTCGTTGCAGCTGTTGCTCTTAGTGAGTGGTTTGTGAAGTGCCCATCTAAACCAGCTTTTGCACACAGATTTTTCACTACCTTTGACAAGGTGTTGATTCCCACTCGGACATCACAATACCACTCATCGTTTGACGGCTTGGCCCTTGCGCGTAAATACAAAGCGTTGACTTTTCCAGTTTTTGGCCTGTATAAAACAAAAATAACCTTAATAACATATCTCTTCCAATATATATACATGTATACAATAAGAAAATTTGATAAAAGAAAGAAAAATAATTACCTTAAAGAAATGTATTTCTTGAATACAGAAACAACACATCTGTCTGGTCTCTCCAAGTTTTCATATGCCTTTGTCTGCTTTCTTCTCAGTTTCCTATGGTTTATTCCACCAGAATTACATTTCGAGATATCCTCGGTATATGCTAAGAATTCCCGCCCAGATTCTTTTTCTTTGCTTAGTTTCAGCTGTGAATTTTCTCCATATCGTAGATTGTAATGTTCGGCACCTCCACGAAGAGCAAAGTTAAGTCCAAGCAAAAAGAGTAAAGTGTCTCTCAGTTTTTCGGGTGTGTCTGTTCCAAGTATACACTTTTCCCACATGTAATTCTCATTTGCCACTGATATAACCTCTGATTGTTTTCTCTCTATTCCGACTCCAGATGAGGCCAGATCCTTCATTTTTTTGTCTAGCATTTTTCTCATTCTTTCAAATTCAATATCGTCCATAAGAGTAACGTACCTTGAATTCTCTCGTAGATGATGTTGTATAGCTATTATAATTTCATACAAGGTGTTACCACGATATTCTTCCCCATTTTCTTTGCGTACTTCAGTTATGAATGCCCCCAAAGAATAATTAAGCATTTCAGGGTTCATGGTCAGCAATTCTCCACTAATTTTCTGAAGGTCACCCCTATTTCCATATTTCTCTTGTCTATTTCTCATCCAGGAATTAAATAAATTGACTGCCCATCTTGATTAAGACATAGTCTTTTTAGAAAATCTTGACGCAGCAATTCTCTCACGTTCAAAATCAGAAATGGGTTCTGTGAAACGCTGATCTTTTTCCTCAGTCTTAATATTGCCCGTCTGCGACTCCATAAGAATCTTGTCAGACACTTGAACCAAATCATCATCCGAAATATCACTGTATTTGTCCAGCTTAAGATCAAAATTCTGATTTTCTTTTTCCTCCTGTAAGTCTAAAATATCATTTAATACACTATCGGTATCTTCCCCCGAACTTTGGACTTCTTTAAATTTACTTTGTGTAAGAAAAATTTCCTCATCAGAATCCATGACCGATCCGTAGAACACAATGGTTTGATATGAAGTGAGCACCTCTTTCACAAGCTCGTAGAGGGGTGTTCGGTTAGCCTTTTGTATTACAACCAGTTGGATACATGAAAGGGTAAGATTCCATTGTTATGGCACAGTTGGATATATGAATGGGTCACCGTTTCTTTGGGGTTCAATAGAGGGAATTTTTTTAAGTAAGATAAATAACTCGATAGTGTTCAATAGTTTAGAGAAAACATTCCTTTCCTCGGGCCTTCGGCCCTCGGAGGGGAAATTTTTTGAATGAAAATAATTTTATCTTGATTAATAAAATGACAACATTTTCAGCATATGTAATATTTTTTAACATTGTTACAATTTATTTATATAAAGTCGGAATGCTTACGTTATAGTTTGCGGCGTAGTAATACACAGTGTGAGACAGAAAAATCTCTCACTGCTGTCTAACACCGGACAAGTCAATCTTACACTGGTGATTATGCGAGAATATTTTCTCTTTGTAAAAGGTCAAGGTTACAAACAGTGATTGATTTAAAAGATTCTATAACATTAAAAAATATGTTAAGGGGCTCAAAACACAGATCACTGGTAATTTGAGAGGTGGGACTAGGAGTAAACACCCCTATCTGTATTAATCAGATTGACAGAACATTCCATATATGTAACAATGACATCACGTTTAGAATGAGGCAAGTCAGACAAAATACGTAAGAAGGATATGGAGAAAACAAAAAGTATTCAAAATCAACGTCCCTCAAATAATACAAAACAGGAGCAGAGCAAACAAGGATCTCCAAAACATCAGAGGTGGAATCAGGTGCCATGGAGGAGTGGCTGGTGAGTGAGCATCCCTTGCTGATCGGTCACACCCACCGTGTGCTCTTTGTCATGATCGGGAGCAAATGATAGGTCATGTTTGCTAACAAAGTCATTGTAAGATCACTGTAACGACCATACCATTTAAGAAAAACTGACTATACGAAATTGATGAAATCCCCATAACATCAATTTTAACTAATACATCATAAAAAAATTGAAAGAATGTAAGGTTTCTATTACAGATAAATTTGATAATTCCTTTTTCGATTCCATGTCTTCTATCTCAAAATATTCTGTGAAAAACTGTAAAACCTGTGACATTTTGATAAGTAACACTTCTTTCACCAGTAATCTTACTTGACAGAGCTTTTATACCAAAACTTGTGAAAATCTGAACTGCAAATCTTCTAATGTCGTCTATGAAATAGAATGTACTCTGTGTGGACTTGTTTATGATGGTGAAGCCAAGGGTTGACTTAATAAAAGAATATCAGGTCATCTATTTCAAAAAATCATGGGGATCAGCAGCTTTTATGTAAAAATAAACCTGTAATACACGATGTCTCTTTTGATTCATTACTACATTATATAAATCAACAATTTGGTCTACATGATATTCGCACCAAACTTTACTCTGTCCTTTTGAAACTTTTAAATAGTCCTTTTGAAAAGGCCAAGGAAAGTCCAATTTTTGATTCCTCGACACCAGAATAAAGGCTCGGATCTGTGATAATGGATATTGCAAATCATAGGCGTTTTAAAGCAGCACGTTTTACTGAAGAAAATGCAGTAAAAACAATCCGTTTTTTCCTTTAAATTTCAATTTGCCAATAAAGGTATTAACACGGTTAATATGTTATATTTTTAATCACAAAAAGTTCCAGTCTTGTATTCCACCAAATTTCAAGTTAAAGACTACACCTGATATTTCCTACAAATACACATCGACCATTGCTTCTAAACGTTTCAATTACAAAAAAAAAATTACATGGCCTGGATATCGAGCATCTGAAACAAAATCTTCCATCGTGTTCACGTTCTTCTTCGCCCTATAACTATAGTCCTGCTGAACACATTATTACAGGTGACATAAATATAGTTAATAATGAAAACCTTAGATCACTTATTTTAAACGGTCCTAAATATAGGGAACCCCGATCCTTCAAATGGTGACGGAATTTCATAAATATTATGAATTCTGTTGAAGATTACGCCAGACGATGGGTCAGATTTGATACGGAAAACGTTGACACTTTGTCAGAATGGATTAAATGTATCAGTCCCGAGTTAAAATCGCGAATTAAAAGATTGAGGGGCAATATGAAAACCATCTATCCTTCTAAATTTAATAATCCAGAAGTGAAAAAAAGAATTAGATAAATTACATGATCAGTACATACTGGTCCATGCAGACAGAACAGGTAACAACACTGTCTTCGTTTGCAAGGCTCATTATATAAATCGTATTTTTGAAGAACTTGGATTTAATTCTACATGTGTTTATCCGACTTGGACTCATAGTTCCCTTTCTAAGGATAAAATTGTTCAAAGAAGGATGTGGAGATAACGAACAGTATTTAACCCAAAGTCCATGAAACAATACAAAATAGGAGCAGAGCAAATACAGACCTCCTAAACATCAGATGTTGGATCAGGTGCCATGGAGGAGTGAGCATCCCCTGCTGACGGGTCACGCGTCATCATCAAAATCATATGTCAATTTTGGAAATCTTTAATATCCCGAAGAGCCAAAATGATTTTAAACTACCATATATATTAATTAATATATCAATGCAAGGAGCACAAGGTCGATGTGACCGGTCGGCAGGGGATACTACCTCCTCCATGGCACCTAATTCCAAATCTGATGTTTTAAAAGTTCCTGTTTGCTCTGCTCCTGATTTGTATTGTTTTATAGACTTTGATATTGAAAACCGTTCGTTATCTCCATATCTATCATCAATGAGTAGTATAGACTACAAAATATTAAATAGAAATATAGAAGAAGGATATATAATAGAAAATATCATTGGAAAATATAGAATTAATATTTTGAAAAATGTTAAATACTTATTATACATATTCATATTGTAAATCATCAGCTGAATTAAATTGATATCGGCAGATCATCTAAACCAGCTTTTGCACACAGATTTTTCACTACCTTTGACAAGGTGTTGATTCCCACTCGGACATCACAATACCACTCATCGTTTGACGGCTTGGCCCTTGCGCGTAAATACAAAGCGTTGACTTTTCCAGTTTTTGGCCTGTATAAAACAAAAATAACCTTAATAACATATCTCTTCCAATATATATACATGTATACAATAAGAAAATTTGATAAAAGAAAGAAAAATAATTACCTTAAAGAAATGTATTTCTTGAATACAGAAACAACACATCTGTCTGGTCTCTCCAAGTTTTCATATGCCTTTGTCTGCTTTCTTCTCAGTTTCCTATGGTTTATTCCACCAGAATTACATTTCGAGATATCCTCGGTATATGCTAAGAATTCCCGCCCAGATTCTTTTTCTTTGCTTAGTTTCAGCTGTGAATTTTCTCCATATCGTAGATTGTAATGTTCGGCACCTCCACGAAGAGCAAAGTTAAGTCCAAGCAAAAAGAGTAAAGTGTCTCTCAGTTTTTCGGGTGTGTCTGTTCCAAGTATACACTTTTCCCACATGTAATTCTCATTTGCCACTGATATAACCTCTGATTGTTTTCTCTCTATTCCGACTCCAGATGAGGCCAGATCCTTCATTTTTTTGTCTAACATTTTTCTCATTCTTTCAAATTCAATATCGTCCATAAGAGTAACGTACCTTGAATTCTCTCGTAGATGATGTTGTATAGCTATTATAATTTCATACAAGGTGTTACCACGATATTCTTCCCCATTTTCTTTGCGTACTTCAGTTATGAATGCCCCCAAAGAATAATTAAGCATTTCAGGGTTCATGGTCAGCAATTCTCCACTAATTTTCTGAAGGTCACCCCTATTTCCATATTTCTCTTGTCTATTTCTCATCCAGGAATTAAATAAATTGACTGCCCATCTTGATTTAGACATAGTCTTTTTAGAAAATCTTGACGCAGCAATTCTCTCACGTTCAAAATCAGAAATGGGTTCTGTGAAACGCTGATCTTTTTCCTCAGTCTTAATATTGCCCGTCTGCGACTCCATAAGAATCTTGTCAGACACTTGAACCAAATCATCATCCGAAATATCACTGTATTTGTCCAGCTTAAGATCAAAATTCTGATTTTCTTTTTCCTCCTGTAAGTCTAAAATATCATTTAATACACTATCGGTATCTTCCCCCGAACTTTGGACTTCTTTAAATTTACTTTGTGTAAGAAAAATTTCCTCATCAGAATCCATGACCGATCCGTAGAACACAATGGTTTGATATGAAGTGAGCACCTCTTTCACAAGCTCGTAGAGGGGTGTTCGGTTAGCCTTTTGTATTACAACCAGTTGGATACATGAAAGGGTAAGATTCCATTGTTATGGCACAGTTGGATATATGAATGGGTCACCGTTTCTTTGGGGTTCAATAGAGGGAATTTTTTTAAGTAAGATAAATAACTCGATAGTGTTCAATAGTTTAGAGAAAACATTCCCTTCCTCGGGCCTTCGGCCCTCGGAGGGGAAATTTTTTGAATGAAAATAATTTTATCTTGATTAATAAAATGACAACATTTTCAGCATATGTAATATTTTTTAACATTGTTACAATTTATTTATATAAAGTCGGAATGCTTACGTTATAGTTTGCGGCGTAGTAATACACAGTGTGAGACAGAAAAATCTCTCACTGCTGTCTAACACCGGACAAGTCAATCTTACACTGGTGATTATGCGAGAATATTTTCTCTTTGTAAAAGGTCAAGGTTACAAACAGTGATTGATTTAAAAGATTCTATAACATTAAAAAATATGTTAAGGGGCTCAAAACACAGATCACTGGTAATTTGAGAGGTGGGACTAGGAGTAAACACCCCTATCTGTATTAATCAGATTGACAGAACATTCCATATATGTAACAATGACATCACGTTTAGAATGAGGCAAGTCAGACAAAATACGTAAGAAGGATATGGAGAAAACAAAAAGTGTTCAAAATCAACGTCCCTCAAATAATACAAAACAGGAGCAGAGCAAACAAGGATCTCCAAAACATCAGAGGTGGAATCAGGTGCCATGGAGGAGTGGCTGGTGAGTGAGCATCCCTTGCTGATCGGTCACACCCACCGTGTGCTCTTTGTCATGATCGGGAGCAAATGATAGGTCATGTTTGCTAACAAAGTCATTGTAAGATCACTGTAACGACCATACCATTTAAGAAAAACTGACTATACGAAATTGATGAAATCCCCATAACATCAATTTTAACTAATACATCATAAAAAAATTGAAAGAATGTAAGGTTTCTATTACAGATAAATTTGATAATTCCTTTTTCGATTCCATGTCTTCTATCTCAAAATATTCTGTGAAAAACTGTAAAACCTGTGACATTTTGATAAGTAACACTTCTTTCACCAGTAATCTTACTTGACAGAGCTTTTATACCAAAACTTGTGAAAATCTGAACTGCAAATCTGCTAATGTCGTCTATGAAATAGAATGTACTCTGTGTGGACTTGTTTATGATGGTGAAGCCAAGGGTTGACTTAATAAAAGAATATCAGGTCATCTATTTCAAAAAATCATGGGGATCAGCAGCTTTTATGTAAAAATAAACCTGTAATACACGATGTCTCTTTTGATTCATTACTACATTATATAAATCAACAATTTGGTCTACATGATATTCGCACCAAACTTTACTCTGTCCTTTTGAAACTTTTAAATAGTCCTTTTGAAAAGGCCAAGGAAAGTCCAATTTTTGATTCCTCGACACCAGAATAAAGGCTCGGATCTGTGATAATGGATATTGCAAATCATAGGCGTTTTAAAGCAGCACGTTTTACTGAAGAAAATGCAGTAAAAACAATCCGTTTTTTCCTTTAAATTTCAATTTGCCAATAAAGGTATTAACACGGTTAATATGTTATATTTTTAATCACAAAAAGTTCCAGTCTTGTATTCCACCAAATTTCAAGTTAAAGACTACACCTGATATTTCCTACAAATACACATCGACCATTGCTTCTAAACGTTTCAATTACAAAAAAAAAATTACATGGCCTGGATATCGAGCATCTGAAACAAAATCTTCCATCGTGTTCACGTTCTTCTTCGCCCTATAACTATAGTCCTGCTGAACACATTATTACAGGTGACATAAATATAGTTAATAATGAAAACCTTAGATCACTTATTTTAAACGGTCCTAAATATAGGGAACCCCGATCCTTCAAATGGTGACGGAATTTCATAAATATTATGAATTCTGTTGAAGATTACGCCAGACGATGGGTCAGATTTGATACGGAAAACGTTGACACTTTGTCAGAATGGATTAAATGTATCAGTCCCGAGTTAAAATCGCGAATTAAAAGATTAAGGGGCAATATGAAAACCATCTATCCTTCTAAATTTAATAATCCAGAAGTGAAAAAAAGAATTAGATAAATTACATGATCAGTACATACTGGTCCATGCAGACAGAACAGGTAACAACATTGTCTTCGTTTGCAAGGCTCATTATATAAATCGTATTTTTGAAGAACTTGGATTTAATTCTACATGTGTTTATCCGACTTGGACTCATAGTTCCCTTTCTAAGGATAAAATTGTTCAAAGAAGGATGTGGAGATAACGAACAGTATTTAACCCAAAGTCCATGAAACAATACAAAATAGGAGCAGAGCAAATACAGACCTCCTAAACATCAGATGTTGGATCAGGTGCCATGGAGGAGTGAGCATCCCCTGCTGACGGGTCACGCGTCATCATCAAAATCATATGTCAATTTTGGAAATCTTTAATATCCCGAAGAGCCAAAATGATTTTAAACTACCATATATATTAATTAATATATCAATGCAAGGAGCACAAGGTCGATGTGACCGGTCGGCAGGGGATACTACCTCCTCCATGGCACCTAATTCCACCTCTGATGTTTTAGGTCCGTGTTTGCTCTGCTCCTGATTTGTATTGTTTTATAGACTTTGATATTGAAAACCGTTCGTTATCTCCATATCTATCATCAATGAGTAGTATAGACTACAAAATATTAAATAGAAATATAGAAGAAGGATATATAATAGAAAATATCATTGGAAAATATAGAATTAATATTTTGAAAAATGTTAAATACTTATTATACATATTCATATTGTAAATCATCAGCTGAATTAAATTGATATCGGCAGATTGGACACATTACCACATAAATCCACATAAAAGTAAGAGCTATAAAATATTCAAAGGTTTCTCGACAGATTTGTTTGAACTCAAAATATGAGTAATAGGTCCCACTCGAAAATTTAAAAAAAAAATATCCAGTTATTAAATAGAAAATAAATTGTTGTCATGCAAATTAAAATATATCTTTTTTTTAATCACTTTGATTTTATTCAAAAGAACTCTATCATTGACATTAAAGGGATTTTCAAATTCTTCATTGACAACAATAATGTAGTCCTTTGAGTCAAGGTCTTCCAGTGAAACAGAAAATCAGGTCGGCAAGAAAAAAATTGTTCAACACGTTTCTTAAGATCGATACTTAACTGTTCGTTATCTACACTATTTTTGCTTTTGTTCTTCAATTTTAGGAGGTATGATATTTAAATTACTTCTATAATGAAATATTCTCTTTAATAATAATATTTTGAATAATTGACTATAAAGTAAATTGTTATTGTCTATTTGACAATCAATTGGATTTCATATTCCAAAATGAAGAAACACATAGAAAAAATCATAAAATGTAAGTACTCAACGTTATCATGAATTTTATCGCCAACACTTGCAACAATTACAACACGCCAGGACATGTCCGTATAATGAAACGGAGTGGATGGAGAGATCGAAAAAAATCTTTTGTCATTGGAAGAGAGTTTATCACTGTTTTCTTGCTGAAGACAAAGTTACCGTTAAGAAAATTGTATAGATAGATCAATGATACAAAAAGGTACCCAGTGCCATTATTAAAACCAAGAATAAAAATTTTTGTTTCATTTTAATTGTCATGCTTGATATTTTATTTATCATTAAGAAAAATCGATGATTTCTTTTAACTTTAATGATATTTGCAGGTTTTTGTCCAATATTCACAGACTCTGGTTATTTACACTGGAGTCCATGCAATGAAACAGGGTGTCCTAACTCATCCTACACAAGTAATACAGTCTACAAATGTAAAATCACTTTTTCTTTAAAAGAGGGGAGTATCTAAATCTTGAAATGGAAAAAAAAAATCACTTTTTGTATTTAATTAACAAAATTAACTAAGCCTCTGAAGTTATAAAACACTTTTTATATTGTTGGTTTGTCAAATTTCAAACATTTTATTTACACTCTTTGTGTCTAATTAACGATGTATTATTTATTGTAGACCGGGCATGTTTTGGTGACACGGACAAAGTCGTAACCAGTATATCAGGTTCTAGGTGAGGCTTAAAGAAATAATTTTTTTTATTAATAAAGTAAATGGAAGAATTTTTCCCTTTTATGAACTCTACTTGTTTTTTTTTTTATTATTTGTTTTTATTTGTTTGTTTTGTTTTTGTTTTTTTTTTGTTGTTGTCTCAGAAAGCAGGGCGTATTACATGATTAATAATGAAATGACAAAAATATTCTGGTCATCTACTTTCACTTTCTAAAAGTTGCTGCTTTATCAAATCCATTTTATCAGATTTTTTTCTCTTTTTTTTTAAATTAAAAGCTAGAAAAGTTACAAAAATATGAATTTGTGTATTTAACGCATATAATAGTATTCTATACAAAATTATATATGTATCTTATAGTACATGTACATTCCTGACAATTCATTGTGATATAAACTGTTAATTCTTGTTGTAACACCCATTTGATTGGATATAAAATTAAATTTAAATTGTATAACCTTTCTTGTCCACATTACAATGACATACATCAAAGATATATATCATTTCGTAAGTCTGTATGAATACTTTAAATATTGTTTCTGTTAATTTTTATGAATAGTGACGACAAAAAGACATCTTCCTTAAATTTCGGGATCGGAATTGGAGTCGTCGTTGTCCTCATTATAGTTGTTGTAGTGATTGTTTTGGCATATTGCCATCTTAGATCAAGGAGCGATGAAAGTAAGTGATCTTAGTTATTATAAGAAAGATATGGAGATGATGACGAACAGTATTCAATCTCAAAGTCCATAAAACAATACAAGACGGATATGGAGATAACGAACAGTATTCATTCTCAAAGTCCATAAAACAATTTAAAAAAAAAACAAGAGCAGAGCAAATATGGACCGCCAATTTATTTAAGGTACAAAAAGGTAAAAGAAAAAGACTTGTCATGACTGCATAAATTTCGTATATGGACAAAATTTATTAGGTTTTTAGACAATATTGACGCTTTTTTCTTACTATCAAATAATCAACATCTAAAAAAATCACTTTGATCGAGAGTTGTACCTTTTGTTTGCAAATTAGAAACAAATTGAATGTGAGGTTGAAATTAAGCGTCTGTACAATTGAATTCAATTTCTGAGATAGTAGTTATTTGTGGTTCACATTTGATACTTTTCAATTTAATAATGTATACTAAAATATAAGTTATTTCGAGACAGTTCAATGTTCACAAATAAATTCTTTGCAAACTTTCTAATTAAACCAATCAAACTACGAATTTCAAAATTCTTCGCTTTAATTTTTCATAGTTATCGAAGGCCTATACATTTTCAGATGATTTGTTATGAATTCATATTTTTTTTTAATGTTTTTAACCGCTCCCTTAGAAAGGTCCGCCTTTATATGTCTGAAGTCCGAAGTCCGCTGTTCGCTGTACGCTATTCCGCAAATGTCCAATGATGGACAAACAATTGGTATGAAAAACGTCAGTCAGCATTTGAGTCAATGATAAATTGTACTTGCTGACAAGGTTTTTGTATCGATCATAGAACATATACGAAAGACGATTTTTAAACGAGACTGTTGATATTCTTGTTTCATCAACTTGCTTGTCAATAATTTACCTCGTTATTTTGTCAACCGAAAGACATACTATTATTCTTATTGTTCAACCTAAAAAAAAATTCGTATCAGAGATGGCTTGTAGAATCTTAATGAACCTTTTATAAACAGGTCTTCTACCCCATCCAATATTCAAAGAAAAAATAAAGGAAACATTTTGATTCATATACTTAAGAACTACCGATTCAGATTCTATGAAGCATTTAAGAAAAAAGTACCTGCAGAAAAGATTCGGTGAGATTGATCAACTTGTCAATTTTGTTACGTTAACAGAAAAGTAAGATCGAGTAAGATATCCAAGTATGAAACTTTCGTGGCAGGCTCTCCTGTATCTTTTATCTCAAGTTTAAAAGGACATATCGTATCCACAAAGAAATGGAAATTAGCATTTGTTAATTGAAAATACGTTGCGATATATCTAAATGTCGAGTTGAAAGTCATAGCAAGACTTTTCTTCTTTTCACGCATAAGATTTTGCACAAATTCTGCTTCATATGAAAATAAAAATAGGTCTGCTAATAACGGAGCGCAATTGGCACTCATGGAATTCCAATAGATTGTTGGAAGATAATGGACCCGTTTTACAAAAGATCTTAAGATTTAGACCAAAATGTGATTTGGTCATAACTTTCGTATTTACTAGTATATTGAAATAGAACAGTTTTAATATTTTTAAAAGGGTATGTGGAAAGATATTTTCAGTTAGCAATTTTAAACAACTCATTAATTTTGCAAAGTTTTACATTAAAATGAAGTTTTTTGGTCTTAGTAGTAAGTTCTTTTGGGAAACGGGCTACTGGTCTCCAAAACCATATAGATACTGTCAATCAGAAACTCAAGCATCTTTCTTACGTCAACTTCAGAGTACTTGTGTGTGCATTCAGAATGTTTTTAAACAAAATTAATTGTAACAAAACTTTGCATTTTCAAAGAATGTTCGAAAATCTTTAACTTTTCTGTTTAAGCTGATCTCACCTCTGATGTTGTGGAGGTCCGTATTTGCTCTGCTTTAGTAGCAGAATTTGTACATGCAGTAATTCATATATATACAAATTTTTAGACAGTTCGTTTTGGAGTTGTTATTAAAAGCTTTTAGTTGAAAAAGGACACCTTTTATAAAAAAGAGTAATATGTTTGACGATTATATACTATATACAGAGAAATTTTCGCACGCGTTTTATTGTCGCTCCATTCGCCCTATCCTTTGCTGGGGCGAATTTAAAACGGAGAGAATTTAAAGAATACAGTATAATTTCTTATGATTGGGCGAATTTAAAACGGGACAAAATTGTTTTCAAGTGTGATTGTACACAGTTTTAACAACATTGCACAATTTATGACATCAATTACTGATGTAAGAAAAGAAGTTATTTTTCACACTTGAGTAATTTTGATAGACAGTGCCTTCCATATCTTGAACAATGAAGGATATGAAGATATCGAACAGTTATTAGTATCAAAGTCCATAAAACAATACAAATATGGACTTTGAAACATCAGAGGTTGAATCAGGTCTCATGGAGGAGTGCCCTTGCTGACTGGTCACAATCGCCCTATGCTCCTTATCATGATCGGGAAATAACGGAAACATCTGTCGTCAATTCAGTGTATAAATAATGAACTAACAATTAGTATGATAAACGTCAGTCAGCATTTGACTCAATGATAAATTGTACTTGCTGACAAGGTCATTGTATCGACCATGGAACTTATGAAATTATGACTTTAAGAATACAACTAAAAATCGGCCTTTTTTATCTCCTTATATGAACTTATTCCCCTACGTAATTTAATATATCCAGGTCTCTGTCTCCTATGACCTTCAAATCGAAACTAGTAACAATTAATTTGGCATCATAAAAAATATTCACAAAATTAATAAAATAATAAATTGACTGATTTATATTGCTTCAAAACACTTTTGAAAAGGTTATTCTTTTTATTCAAGCTGAGGACATAGTTAATGGCATCAACGTTCTCCATTCTCAAAGCATGCTTAACGTCATTGGGAAACTCGGGAATTCTGTTTCTACAGTGGGGTGGAGGATAACGTCAAATTTTGCTGAGAAGCATAATATGACTCCTGAGAAAAAGAAATACTTGGATATTTCTGAAAATTTTGCTTCTTTTACAAATAGAGTCTATTTCATTGATGGATGGTTTGGATTATGGAATGATAATCCTTGTGAAAAAGATCTCGTTTTGGAGAAATTTCGTTTGATCATTGAGTTAGCCAAGGATAAAGCGAAATATATAAAGTTCGTTATTGAGTTCCGCACTGATGTTTATCAGTCCTATAAGAAGGACTTAGAAGAGATTGGAATTTCTTTCCCTGAAAGACAAACAATATTACGTGATTCCTATTCAAAACATAAAGACACTCGAGTAAAAAGACATTTTAAGAACGTAACACGGAAATGCACTACCGATAGATGTTCTTGTAAGTCATTAAGCTCAAAAGATATAGAGTCCATTGACTTGATTGGAGGCCATCTTATAGTTGATCTTTTGGGTTTGGATCACATTATGGCACATGATTTGGTAGATTTAAACAAAGGACCACTTCAGACAATGATAGACCATTTCAAGGCACTGGATAGCGAATACAGCGATCTGTTTAAATGCATTCTTTATATTGTTTTGATTGGATTTTATAATAAGAAGAAGTTTAGATCTGATGTTGCAGACCAATTTTTAATTTCAACAAACTTCCTACAGGAAGGCATCAACCTTAATAAATATACAAAAAAAAACTCTTAAAGCTGAGGATATAACACAAATGTGGACATCAACATTAAGCGGTGATTATAACGAATCAAATGAAATCGATGTCTTTCGGCACATCTTTCTTTATATTCTGCGTTTCATGCTTGTTACAGTTTATACACTGAGAAGATGATGAGATACTGCCACCTAGATGCCATACTACAACTCGTCCGTCCAGAAGGCCAAAAATCGGCCTTTACCGTAGAAGCAAACAGAGAATTAATTTCAAGCTTTTATAAAGAAAGAATACAAGGAAAGGACTTTGAAGACCATGTAAAAGACCATCCTCTTACTGTGTTTTTTCAAACCCAGTCTTAAGGATTTTATAAGAACAATAGGATAAAAAGAAAACGTTCTTTTGATGGAGAGACGTTTATTGTGTTTTTAAAGTAAAAAAAAAGTGAATCTATTTATTGTTTAAAGTTATATTTTATCACAGTGTGAAAGGTGAAAGAGTTTTTTAAAAAGATATTATCTCAAAGTGTGAGTTAGAGAAAAAATTAAGAAATGCGGCAAACATTAATTTTACCTTCCATCGGGAAAAACTTTGTAGAAATACTTCATGAAAAAGGTTGTCATCCTGAAAGAGACTATAACTTCCAAATTCTAAACTATTCATGTGGATTGTTTTTTTTTTAAATCTTGTGCTCCTCCTGAAATTAATTCCATGAAAACAAAAGAATATGGAGTACTTTCTATGTATAATTGAAGAAAGGTCAACACTTGTATATATTTTTTATATTGTCTTTATGTTGTTTATCATTGCACAAATGTTAACTGCTTTCTACTTACATGTAATGCATTTGCAATTTGCAAATAAATCAAATAAATATTGGAAATGTTTTCAGTAGTTTTAAAATTATTTTGTCCTGCATCATATGCAAAGAATCTCGCCAAAGCAATTGTTACTTTATAACTTTCGTCATGTGATCATATCTTTGTGATTTAAATATTTTTTATTGCACATAATTTAATTAATAAGTTTGCTAAATAAAGTTGTTGTTTATATGTGTCATTTCTCATTTCTTATTATAAAAACTACTGTTTACATAAACACCAATCATTAGTATTAATGTTTGCTGTTAAGTGATACCATTGATAAACTTACATCGGACCATCACACCACACGACGTCACGGGGCTAGCAGGTCAGTTATCCACTTTGTGAGAAAAAAATGATGGGCTCCTCACGGTGTCATGTTGTGATATATGCTGTTATTTTTATTTCACAAGGTAAAAATTCTATTTTCAATCTTTTTAAAAAATCTTTTACTTTAAAACAATGCATTATCAAAAGTATCAAATTTTTTGATAGCGTGGATTGCATTTAAATTAGGCATTTTTCTTATTGTAAGTGAAGTATTTATTAGTAATATAGTTCTTTTAATTGGTTCAAGAATGAAAATAAATAAAACAAACAAATAGAAAACCTTTCGTAAGTAAGCAATACTTCTCACATTTATTTATTCACTTTGAATCTTAAACCTTTTGATATTTGTAATCGTTATAACTTTCAATGATTGAAGTCTAGATTCATAGAGTGCGCATTGTATTGACTAATTAATGAATTGTATTTCAAAAAAAGTTATACCAAGGGCAGGATAGCCAACATTTTAAGTTTTTAACTAATCAACAATTTTCAATAGCCAGTGATTACTTGGCTTATTATAATAAATCATGTACTTATTGTCAATAAAAACACCACTACAAGTTTTCCATAAAATGTTTAAACAACATCATGAATTCCGATTAATATAATCTGTTTTGTATATTTTTTATGTATAAGTATGGATTTTTTAATAAATCTTAAAGAACATATCATAATATAATTTAAATATAAATCAAACAAGCACCAATTCGCGAATTCTCGGTAAAACGGGTGATCAGGGCATGTGCTATTTTGAAACAAAAAGTAATTACTACTAAGAAAAGGAGTATAAACAGTACTATCAAACATGCAAATCATAAATGATTTTTGATAGATAAATTATGGGGGGTTTAATGTAAAATGTTTAATAGCATTTTAGATATATTTAATTAACATTTACCTCAGAAATCCCGGAACTTACGAGATATTGAGAGTCTTGCCTATTCTGTTCATTAGTACATCAGTACATCAGTACATTATAGGTCTATGCTCTTACGTGAAGTAAAACATTTCATTTTTCTCCCCTATCAGCTTTGGCCGTACCGGATGATTTAAGAACTCTCTGCCCCCGGGACATCGCTCTAGACCCACAGTATGTCTGGATACATGGCTCTGCGTGCCTCCAGATCTCCCTGGACAAGCATGACTGGCCGCACGCGCGGGAGCGTTGTCAGCGCCATGGCGGGGATCTGGTGCAGATCCGGAATGCCGACATGCAGGGTTCCATCATAGAGAAGATCAGACAGGTCCACCACCACATCAAGGAGGGCTTCTGGATCGGGGCTTCAGATCAACATCACGAGGGGAGGTGGGAGTGGGTGTCAGGTACGTTCGGTAGATGATGTTTATTCCTCCATGACACCCGATCCCACCTATGAATATTTTTGAGATCCGTGTTTAACTACTAGTATATATATATGTATATATAGAAATATTCAAATGATGTGTTGTACAATAATTAAATGTTATACGGTTAACATTGCAGGTGACAAGACAATGACCTATGATAATTGGAGCCCTCACCAGGGTCCCCACCAGACCGGCTTCCTGCTGATCCCGGGGGGAGGGACGGAGGACTGCGGACTACTCAAGGTCACAGATCATTATATGTGGCATGACTACCCCTGCCACAGCGGAATAGCATTCTTCTATCCGTACATTTGTCAATTTGGTGAGACATTATTTCGGAATATTCTAAGGCAGGAAAAAATGATAAAACCTTATGTTACGTCATCATGTTTTAGTATTACTTAAAAATGACTTATTTTTTTATGAATTCAAGATATACCACAAACAACACAAAGACCAGAAACAACACCAACTCCTAAACCAACCTCAGCAGTAACTACAACAAAACTAACAAAAACAACGACACATTCTTCAACGATATCAACTACAAAACCGAATTTTACACCAAAAGTGACAGAGTCAACATCATCAGCAACACATTCTACAAGTATTAAAAGTTCAACAACAAAAGAAGTTTCGTCTATTCCAGCAATGACAACAAAGTCTTTAACGTCAACAAAGATCACACTTCTCTCTCTATTAACATCCAAGTTCACCATGACTGAGAAAACAAATGGAATCAGTTTAATTTCGAACAAAATCACATCTGAGGGAAATCCTAAACTGACCACAGAAGAATTAGAGATACTAGTCACAGAGCAAGGTCAAACTTCAACCACGACAGCAAAGAGTGAACCAGAGGGCATGATCATTATAGGATAAAGATTGTAGAATTTTTTTCATCAAAATTTGAAAATATTAAACATCTGCACTTTTACTATGTTCTTTAGAAAACAATGTCATGCTACAAACAACAAATGAATAAAACATTTTTTCTCATCGCTTATTGAAAATGAAATGGTCATTATTGAGATACTTGGGAAAGAAATCCTAAAATAGCAAGCAATTCTAGAGATTATCACTTCTTCCTTTAAATGCTACTACATGTAAATGTCTTTAGTATGCTATCTGAAATATGGATTTCTATATCTGTGTCAGTATGTACGATATTTAGTGAAAATATATATGTAATATGAAAGCAAGTACATGTACTAAAATCCATATGAATAGCATTTCAACAACATTCACGGCTAATTTTTTTTCAATGCCAATTTTAAATGTCCACTTCCAATTTCAATTCCTTGCTCCCCTACGCCGTTACATTTTTAAATTCCATATTGGAAACCTCATTTTAAAGGTACTTGAACACAGATTTGAAGTTATTATTTTCTCTATAATATTACGACTTATATATTTTAATAGCATTTCACACAAAAATTAATTAAAAATCTTATTTCGTTTAAAAGATATTGAAATTTCAAATTTTTCGGCGGGTTTGATTGACATATCCTTGCACTCTCACAAATTTAATTTTATTCTTAATCCTTAGGAAAAGTGGCAATCTCGTTTTGTATAAAGGAAAAATTATTAATACTATTATCCAGAAAATTCAGAGTAGACACGTTCGATAGCAAAACAAACACACAATATATTGTCAGTCCGTACAGTTGTGGTAAGCAGACTGTGAACGCACCCGGTGAATTCTAAATATAAACAATATCAGAACTCGAGCCCTGTTTACAAATACTGTGTACATAACACGAGTGTGCTCGATTTGCTAAAAATCTGTACGCATCTCTTAGTTGGGAATGACGATACTTGTGAAGGTGTTTTGCTTTCTAACATTTCTACTCTGAATGAAATTATTTTTCTTGATAAAAGTTTTAATATTTCTCATTAAAACACATCAAAATTGCCACTTTTCCTAAGGATTAAGAATAAAGTTAAAATTTGTGAAAGTGCATTTAAAGTTTTAATAACTTTTAAATGAAATAAGATTTTTAATTAATTTTTGTGTGAAATGCTATTAAATTATATAATTCGTGATATTATACAGAAAAAATGAGAAAATATTAACTTCAAATCTGTGTCCAAGTACCTTTAAGGAAATAAAAATGATTTTTTTTCTGTGTATATAAATAAACTTGATTGTACACTAAAACGAAATTTTAAAAAAATCCATGGTTGCTTTACAAATTAAAAATTTCAATAAGGAACACAAGGTGGATGTGAATGGTTGAAAAGGGATGCTTACTCTTCAATTATTGCACCGAATTATACCTCTAATGTTTCTGAGGTTCGCATATGCTCTTCCCCCAGTTTGTATTGTGAAACATATGGAGATAACGAACAGTATTTAATATCAAAAGCCCATGAAACAATACAAAATAAGAGCAGACCAAACACAGATCTCTAAGACATTGGAGGTGGGATAAGGTGCCATGGAGGAGTAAACATTCCCTTCCAACAGGTCACACCCGCCATGTGATCATTATCATAATCGGGAAAGAACGGAAAATCGTATTTAATTCAGCGTAGAAATAATAAACTAAAATAAGTATAAGGAATGTCAGTCAGCATTTGATTCAATGATAAATTGTATTTGCTGACAAGGTCATCGTATCGACCATAGAACTTATGAAATGATGATTGAAAATTATACTGTTGAAATTCTTGTTTCATCAGCTTGTTTGGCAATAATTTACCTCATTTCAGAAATTGTTCACAAGAGCACGTAGAGCATGTTCTTGCTTATCGAATCAACTGAGAAATATGAACTCAATATGAAGGTGATGAAGGCATCTTGCTGCATAAGAAGGGGCCTTTGACGATAGAAAAGTTAAAGTCATCATTTTTATCATAGAGCTTTGTTGTTAAATAACCATTAACGTTTTAAGGAAATATCAAAATATGAAATAGATGTGTCAGTCTTTGTGGTCTCTTTTATCTCAAACTCTGGAATATATATATAAATACCAAGTGTTTTTTTTTCTTTTTATGTACACAATTTTGCAGAATTTTTTCTTCATATTAATTTCAAAATAGATCTGCTTATAACGAGGCGTAATTGGTTCCCTTGGGGATTCAAGTTGATTGTTGGAAGACCTTGTCTCCAAACATCACATACTGCACATAGATACTGCAAATAAAAAAAACTCAATCTTTTTTTTTATGTCAACTTCAGAGTACTTGTGTGTATAATCAGCAGAATGATTTTTAAAAATAATTTTGCAAATGACCAATGACAAGGTAAGTAAATTTACGAGTTCCAGTTACGAGTTGTTTCTGTGAGCTTCTGAGCTTGATAACTGTCTAGTACACTGTATGCCCATATGTCATTTGTGAAGTTTTGTGGTGTTACATTGAACTTTGAAATCACCAGAGGTAGGATCTGACGCCTGTTTAACAGTACAGACACCCGAAAATGCATTTGAACAATCTGGATCCCACGAGTTCACATCCCCTATCAAAACGCCTGATTTGTAGAATAGCGGTAAAGTTAATAATTGCGCTTAAAATAACGCATTTTACTCAAAGGAACCAATTTTTTTCTAAAAAACAATTGTCTGATAAAATTAACCTACAATCTTTAGGGTATTGTTCCTACTATACGTTTTTTTAGAAGATTATAAATCAAAATAAATTCAATTAAAAAACGGAACTTTTTGTTTTTATTTTTAACACTTTTTTATTTTGCGTTCACGGTAGCTCAGTCGGTGGAGCACTCGCTTCGTGATCAGAAGGGCTTGATTAGAACCTGGGTCGCGACTGACCTAAGTCGATAAAAAATTGGAAGCAACTCTTTCTTCGTCATGTGCTCGGCATTTTGAAGTGAAATTTGCGGATCCTTCGATTGAGAACTTAAAAACTGAAGCCCCAAGTGTTATGACAGACGTTGGTACGACAAAGATCCCTCAATGCTCAATGACCCCTAGTGCGAAGTAAAGGCAAAACAAGAGGCACATGGGCCACATCGCTCACCTGAGTAGCTTGGGTGATGCAGTTCTTTATCAGATTCCCCCACTTGCTATACTTATCACTCCACTCCCCCTTCCCTTTTATGATTTTAAAACTTTAGAATCTACACTACCCGAGGATTTTATACTTTTATTAAAGTTTCAGCTTTCCTAGCCCAGTGGTTCTTGAGAAGAAGAATTTTAAAGATTGTTCTATATATTTCTATGTAAAACATGGATTCCCTGTTTTGGTCCCGCTTTACCCACGGGGGTCATGATTTAAACAATTTAATATCTACACTATCCAAGGATGTTTCCACATAAGTTTCAGCTTTCCTGCTCCGAAGAACCAAGAGAAGCACATTACCCCCCCCCCCCCCCTCCATCCCCATTTTGTGTTCTGGATTTTAATTGAGCTACTTGTATGTGTGAAGATTTATAAAATATACAGAGTAAAAAAAACCTTAATACTTTTGATAGCAGAATCCAACCTCGTTCAGGACACTTGCACCTGTTTGAAAACAACTTAAATTTCTTTTGATTCGCTTAAATAATAAGACTATAAACATTTATATTGGAAGTTTACTTAAATACAAATTTAATATTACTTGTTGCTAAAATGTTTGTTGATCGACTATCGTTCCTTTTTCCTATTTTTTTTATTTATAGTCCTCGAAGATTACGGATTTTCAACTTTCATTTTCGAATCTTTAATCAATATTTTCACATTTAAAACCAAGTTAATGCACAAGTTTAAAAATAGACAAACGTAAATTCCTACTCTAATTTTAAAACACCAAGTTGTTCAGTCTTATTTCGTGTGACACTCGTTCTTTGATTATTTCTTTTTATGGATTGGGCCATTTTAGTGTAAGTATTACCTTAAAAGTTATAAAAGATTAAATAATAAACATAAGCTATCAACAAATGACTTAAAACTGAGTTTAATTCTACTTTTGATTTATCAATTCCTAAAATAGGCCGATTATTTGATGATTTATAACTGTTAGATAACATTTTTCCTTTAATATTTCTTTTAGTAAATAAACGTATAAAGTATCAAAATTAAAAGAAATCATATAAAACAGATCTTTTACGAAGGAGAAAAAGGATATTAAGTAAAACTTATCTAACTTTATTTTATCAATCACCATTCATTATACTAATTTCTTATTTTTTATCACAATTTTAATTAATTCATTTGATACATGAGCGGCCAAAGAGACAGATAATAATATGATAAACATCAATGTGTTCTTAGAATTGTAATATTTTCTTAGACAACTTCCAATAATCTCCGTTGAAGGTATGAATTAAATATTATAATTTATGTACTGAACAAAAAAGAAAGGTATAGTAGAAATTATTTTTTTTTTATTGAAAGGTATAGAAACATTATTTGGTTATAATAACAAGATACCACTGTCTGACAATATTCTTTTTAAAAATGTTATTTTAATGCACACATGGGTTGAGAAGAGATCTTTGGTCTACCCTGGGGTTTTAATTGCATTGCAAAAGTCAATATCCTGTACGAACACCGCCTGCGCTAAACACTGCGACACATCTGCGACGCATAGAGGATACATGTTTCTCGCATAATCACCAGTATAAGATTGACTTGTCCGATGTGAGACAGCAGTGTGAGATTTTTCTGTCTTACACTGTGTATTACTACGCCACGAACGATAACGTAAACATTCCGTCATTATATAAAGAAATTGTAACAATGTAAAAAAAAATATAACACAAAATTAAACTGTTGTCATTTAACTTATCAATATTAAACTTATTTTCATTCAAAATATTGTCGTATTTTCACTTTTTTAATGGCACTATTTTTAGATCGCGGAATGATTCTTCTTTTACGCTGTCGGAGAGATAAGTTTTTTATCTTTCTGATTAATTTACACGGACTGAAAATTATTTTACCAGTTTACACTACGTGTAAAGCATTTTAAGGTATGTTCTCTCCGATGGTGCATTCAGATTTTTAATTAGATTGAAAATTAAAAATATTTTTCTAGCCCCATCATGGCGAC